CAGGTTGTCTGTAGAATTCTTGGGGATTGTCTGTTCAGGTGAAACTAAAGTTATTCCAGAAGCAGTCATAGACAACGTCCAGGCTTTCCCCACCCCTACCACTGTGGCAGCATTACAAGAGTTTTTGGGTCTTTTGGGCTACTGGAGAGTGTTTATCCTGCACTTGGCACAAATTCTGAATCCCTTATACTGGTTGGTACAAAAGGGCATCAGATGGGACTGGGATGAGACATGTGCAGCTGCTCTTACTGCTGCCAAGTGGGCAGTCAAGGCCGTACAGGCTTTTAATGTAATGGACTCATCAAAGCCCTGTAAACTTGATGTTTGTGTAACTGAAGATGGTTGTGGATGGGATCTTTGGCAGTGGCTTGAATGGACACGACAACCTATTGGAGTCTGGTCACAACTATGGAAAGGAGCAGAGGTCTGGTACACCTTGATAGAGAAGCAACTGGCTGCTGTGTACCATGCCTTGCTGGCTTTGGTGCTCATCGCTGAAACAGCTCCGACCAAAGTAATAACCACCTATCTGATCATGGAGTGGGTGCAAGACTGGACCCAAAGGCCACGGAGTGGCATGGCACAGACACATACACTGGCCAAATGAGGCACATATTTACAGCAGTGCAGTGCCTGCTTTACTACCCCCTTAAATGGAGAAATCCAATGCTTCTTGGGACCAGTGACCTATACCAGTGGAAAGCAGGAAGAACTTGCTTTTGAGCCATTGGTAGTCGAGACTCCTTTATCAGGCCTAAACCTGAAGATGCTTGGTACACAGATAGTTCTAGTTGTGGGCAGCCCCCAAAGTGGAGGGCTGTTGCTTTCCATCCTAAGACTGAGACAATATGGATGGAAGACAGAGAGGGGAAGTGCAGCCAATGGGCTGAGTTCTGGCCAGTATGGCTTGTGATCACCCAGGAGCTCTCCCCCATAGTTGTCTGCACTGACAGCTGGGCCATCAATAGGGGCTTGACCCTGTGACTGCCAACATGCTACCATGCCAGCTGGATGGTTGGTCACCAGCCTCTTTGGAGGCAAGAGCTGTGCCAAGACCTATGGGCCTCTGGTCAGACTAGACTGTTACTGTCTATCATATGACTGGCCATTTGCCTTTGGCATCCCCAGGGAATGATAAAGCAAACACTTTTGCCCAGGTGCACTGGCTAGAAGGAAAGCCTGTCTCTGATGTGATCCAATGGTACACCAGTATTTGTTGCATGCGGGGCTAAAGACAATGTGGCTGTAGCCCGTAGTTGAGGCTTACCTTTGACCTTGAAAAAGTCAGCAGAACCTGAAGGAGTGCCTTGTGTGCTTTAGGAGGGTCTTTCATCGAGTCCCACAGCAACATGGGACAATAGTAATGGGGCCTTGTCAGGTGGCAAATCTATATTTGGCCTCCGCCCATATCAGGATATCGGTATGCCATGAGTTGTGTGGACACAGCTACTGGACTTTTGGTTGCTTTTCCTGCACATCTTTCAGATCAACAAACCACCAGGGCCTAGAGCATCTCTTTGCAGCCTATGGCTGGCCACAGGTGATTGAGAGTGATCCAGGCACCTACTTTACATGCATTACAAGAGTGGGTGCAGCAATTAGGAATAAAGTGGAAATTCCATGTACCATATAATCCCACCAGGGCAGGTATGATAGAGAAGTACAATGGTTTGTAGAAATCTCATCTGAAGTCGGACACCAATAGTCGGCGGAGTTGGTCAGCTGGCCTATGGACAGTGCTGCAGTGTTTGAATGAGAAGCCACGTAAAGGAGCCTTGAGCCCTGTGGATATGCTCACACACCCTGCTGCCTCTCCTGTACAACTGGACATCCAAACCAAAGAGGAGTTATTGAAGCCAGGATATGACCAGCAGAGCAACATCCTGCTGCCAGCCCCAGCTGCATTAAGCCCTGGAGACACTGTCGAATGGACCTGGACCTGGACATTTCGACACATGGACCAGCAATGGCTGGCCCTTCTGGTACCTTGTGGGAAAGGCCTGGAAGCTGGCCTCATGTGTATTCCTGGATTAACAGTTGAATGGCCCCCAAAGGCTATGGTAGTGAACCCAAAACGTCCAGGAGGCAAGAGCATCTTGCAGGGAAGTTTCGTTTCGTCTTTATGGTGTGTGCATGTACTCCCATAACCCTATATATTGACCCATCTGTAACTCCCACAGGGAGGGCGGTGAAAGTCTGGTATAATAGACCAGGATGAGATTCCATTTCTGCCACTGTCCTATCACAGGATCACTCTCTTGCATGTATCCTACCTGATGGGCAAGATTTGCCTACACTGGTGTCATTAAAACATGTATCTTATTGCCCTTGAGGTTGTCTCTTACAGTCCTTGTGGCCTGAATGTGCCCCTGGCTGCAGCTGCTGCTTGATGATTGCTCTGAACCCTCAGCTACTGCCTGTGCCTGTGGAATGGATGAGCTATGGACTTAATCTGCATGACTTTGAACCTAGCTGAATCCTCCAGCTTGAGGATTGTTATAATTTTATTGCTCTAGTTATTATCATCAGTCTGGTCACAATGCTCCAGTTTTCTCACCTAGGGACAATTTCGGAAGAAGGGGAACAAGTAGATTGTAAGGCGAGATTTCTGGAGGGGTGTCCTATGGGTAAAGTTGTAACATTTCCAGAATATCTCGCCTGACTTTGTGCATTTGCATATCCTCAGGGGTGGAGAGAAGTTTGTCTCTATGTCAGTGGGTTATTACCTGGGCAACCAAGGGTGTGTCTGGACCTGAGAGGTTAAGGGGAGGGGCTGGCGTGCCTGCTTCCTTCTGGTACTCAGAAGATGGTGCTGGACTGGAGTTTGTAAGTAATAAATGGGTTTTAAACTTTCTCCCTTTGACTAATTTCGGTTTTTTGAGGTATTTTGCCCCGGGTTTTTCTCTCCCTGGACTTACACTTACAAAAGGGATGGGAAGGTGTTCCTTACAACCAGGATTGACCATCAAATGTCCCTATCAGGGCATTTTTACCCAGACTTGCTAAACCAAATAGGCTTATCAAGAAACCACTGGTGTAATCAGAAGTATCCCAGGCAAACCAGAATGGAGGTGTAGTAGACTGATTCTAAAAATGCCCACAATTCCTCACCAGGCCTTTATCCCCATCTTTTGTAGAAGTTCATAGCTCCTCCTATCAAGAGGTGGACCCTATTCTTTCTGCATATGACCTTGAGAACCCAGCCAAGATCAGAACCACCAACTGATCAGCCTAATTTCCTCTAAGAGCAACATGAGCCACCAAGTTTTGGAGTGGTTTGTTACACAGCAATAGCTAACCATTATTACTTACTCCAAGCATTCCCACCACTTCCGAAATGCAGCAAAGAAGCTTTGTACTGGAATGAACCAACCCAAACCACTTACAGATGGGGCAGGGTTAAGAAACCGAAGGTTCTTTAACCAAAGCCCTAGAAGATATTAAGTATTTTTTTTATTTTAGTTTTTATTTCCAAGAACTTAATATTGTTCCATCTAATATTACAGACTATCTTTATATTTACTTCTAGGAAATTAAAATCTACTAAGATCTTAAATCTAAGTAGTATCACCTTGCATTTAAGTAGCATCTTACAATTTATGTAACATTTTACTAAAAAAAGCCACCAAAAACTATAAAGCATAGGCAGAGCAGGTATCATTATGCCCAACTGACAAATGAGGAAATCAAATCACAGGAAAATTAAATGACTTTCACAAATACTAAGAGGCAAAGCTACAATACTTAACAACTACAACTACAAACTTTCACTATTCCTTCTCTGTAGAGCTCTTATGCCAAAATCTTGGGTGAGTATTGGCATGTATCATCTTTCAGGTATTTACTTGAATTACATAGATGAGGTACCATTTCTTTTCTTACAAAAGAAGGGAAACATGACTTAGCTTAATGGTTGTTCTGAGGAGCAAAGAAAATAATATATGAAAAGCACATCGCACAACACCTAACACAAATATTAGGCCCCCTGCCCACACTCACCATGATAAGGCTTTCTTCCAGGCTTGATAACCTCAACTCTCAAAATACTGAACACACTTGAAATGACAGACTTTCAGATAGTTAGCATAGGCAAATTTTATTTCTATGGTAGAAGTATTTATTTCAGTTATAGAAAAATAACACTATTTTAAAGTCAAAGAAACTAAGCAGAAGTATATTTTTTCCTTGTATACCCATACTCAAATATCACATATGGTTTCAAGACATTCTTAAATTAACAAGGAACAAATGCAGAATCAAGGTAGTATCTGTCACCAGAAGAGATGTATTAAAGCTACATTATCAGCCCTGTAAATCAGAAAACACAAAGTGATCTCGTGCAGTGATTCTCAATGTTAGTGTGCATTAGAATCACCTGAATTCTGGAAAAGCACCTTCAGGGGATGAAGGCAAGGTTAGCAAGCCCTTGGTCTCAGAATAAATACCAAGGGGTTTAAAGATACAAACTGTTCCTTCAGGGAGGGGCAAAGATGAAATACATCACAGTATATGAGACCAGCCATTTACTCACTCTGTGACTTCTCTGAGCCTCAGATTCAGGAATAATAATAGATTTTCTACTCTCAAAAACTGTTCTACAGACTAGATCAGATAGTGTGCAGTAAGTGTCCCTAATTCATTCACACACAGCTACTATCATTTCATCACCACCCTTATTATCTGATACAGAGGACATTCTCCCCCAACCCCAACTCCCACTCCCAAGTAGCTGCTACTATTTATTGTAAAAATTATATAACCACTCTTTGAGTTCAAGTTCATGAACTATTGGTACAATTTTTATATTGCTACCATTTTTACAAGCTTCAATAATGGTTGTTCTGAGGAGCAAAGAAAATAATATATGAAAAGCACATCGCACAACACCTAACACAAATATTAGGCCCCCTGCCCACACTCACCATGATAAGGCTTTCTTCCAGGCTTGATAACCTCAACTCTCAAAATACTGAACACACTTGAAATGACAGACTTTCAGATAGTTAGCATAGGCAAATTTTATTTCTATGGTAGAAGTATTTATTTCAGTTATAGAAAAATAACACTATTTTAAAGTCAAAGAAACTAAGCAGAAGTATATTTTTTCCTTGTATACCCATACTCAAATATCACATATGGTTTCAAGACATTCTTAAATTAACAAGGAACAAATGCAGAATCAAGGTAGTATCTGTCACCAGAAGAGATGTATTAAAGCTACATTATCAGCCCTGTAAATCAGAAAACACAAAGTGATCTCGTGCAGTGATTCTCAATGTTAGTGTGCATTAGAATCACCTGAATTCTGGAAAAGCACCTTCAGGGGATGAAGGCAAGGTTAGCAAGCCCTTGGTCTCAGAATAAATACCAAGGGGTTTAAAGATACAAACTGTTCCTTCAGGGAGGGGCAAAGATGAAATACATCACAGTATATGAGACCAGCCATTTACTCACTCTGTGACTTCTCTGAGCCTCAGATTCAGGAATAATAATAGATTTTCTACTCTCAAAAACTGTTCTACAGACTAGATCAGATAGTGTGCAGTAAGTGTCCCTAATTCATTCACACACAGCTACTATCATTTCATCACCACCCTTATTATCTGATACAGAGGACATTCTCCCCCAACCCCAACTCCCACTCCCAAGTAGCTGCTACTATTTATTGTAAAAATTATATAACCACTCTTTGAGTTCAAGTTCATGAACTATTGGTACAATTTTTATATTGCTACCATTTTTACAAGCTTCAACTATTCACTTAACACTAAGATTTCAGTACATGGTTGAAATGAAAATTTTTGTATCTAAACTAAGATAATGGATTCAAAGAAGGGAACTAAAGGATAAGAAGTGTGTGTTGCTTCTAAAGCACCAACAGCTACATGAATGAACTTCTTTTCAAAGTGACCCATTTTAGACAATCTCGATGTTTCCTATATTGTTTTCTGAATCTCAGGTTATTTATGGATGGAAACATGGGAATAAAATACCTATAATCTTCATTAATTCCTATATTAATGAACTACACAGTAATGTTTCAGTTAAGGTTCGGCCATATAAGTAACTACCCACATAAACATCAGAGGCTTAATATTCTGAAACTATAAAACAGTTATAGAGGTGCCCAGGAAGGTTAGGATAGGGTTTATCAACCTCAGTAATACTTACATTTCGGGTTACATACTTCTTTTTTGTAGGGGTGTATCCTGTGCACTGCACTATGGAGGCATCCCTGGCCTCTACCCACTATATACTGATGGCAACCCTCCCCACTTCCCAGTTCTGACAACCAAAAATGCCTTTGGACACTGTCAAATATCTTCTGAGGGTCAAAATCACTCCTAGTCAAGAACCACTGAGCTAGAACTATACATAGACATAACTGTGAACTCTGAGTGCACAGATTATACAAGACTATGTAATTTTACTAATTTAAAAAGTACAGCACAATAGTTTTGGCTGTACTGTTTATGCTAGGGCACATAATTTTTATAATATACTACTTATATGCATTCAATTACCCACATATATCTATCTTTTTCTTATTGAAAACACTGGCATTAAACAGGAAAAAAAAACATAGCTAATCCTGCAACCATTTTTATATTACCTAATATATGGGAAAAATCTACGGTTTACAAACATTTGCTAAGTGGAGACCTAGATAAATCACTGCAAGTGTCCTTCCTTCTGAATTCGAAGCCTCTCTTTCTCTACTTGTAAGCGTTCCTTTTCAATCTGCAGCTTCTCTGATTCAAATTTCAAAAACTGCAGCCTGTCTTTTTCCAGCTGCAAGCGTTCTCTCTCAAGTTTCAGCTTCTCTGTTTCTATGTCCTGTGGCTGAAGCATGGACTTCTCTCCTTGACCAAATTCATTTTCCAAAGACGGTTTCTCTGAGCTGACTATCTGTAGCCTCAACTTCTCTCTTTCAATCTGCAGCCGCTCCTTCTCCAGCTGGAGTCGTTCGTGCTCCATGTCTAAATGCCGCAGCCTCTCCTTCTCAATCTGTAGACGCTCCTTTTCTACCTGCAATCTTTCTGCTTCAATATCCAGTCGCCGTTTTTCCAACTCTAGTTTCTGTTTCTCTATGTTTACAAGCAAATGGGACTCATCATACGCAGATCTGGATGGGGTTGAGTTCAGAGTAAAAAACTCATCAATGTGGGGGAAATCCGGAAGTTCATTTTCCCTCCTGGAATCTGGTATGACCGATGACAACATTTCTTCCTCCTCCTCGATCTCAAACTAAAAGACAAGGGAAAAGCAATTTTCAGTATGTATTTCTCCTTTATGGTTGGTATTCTGTCTAAGCATTTCTTAAAAGCTTTCTGTACTGCCTGAGCACACAAAACCATTTACTTTGAATTTTGAGAAACATTTACAACAAAGCACCTGATGTCACTAACGTATGTAACTGAGAGTATATTTAGGTGAGAAGGAAGATTAATGATGTAAAGAAAAAGTTATATGTTATATATGTTATATATTAAGTTAGCTTGAAAATCTGGGAAATTCTTCATTGTTCCTGGACTGTCACAAACACGCCAGAACCGGAGGAAGGAAGCGAGCAAGGGGTCCCCAGGCCAGTGCTCACCTCAGGACTCTGAGCATCTCTCTCTTCCTGTTCCACTTTGACCTCCGTTAAGGGTCCACCTGCATCCCTAAAATCCGACACATTCTGCCAATCAAAATTTGTATCGCTTCGAAAGCCGACCTTCTCGTCCATCTCCTCCGTGAGGGAGTCATCCGGGTCGGAGCAGGGCAGCGGGAAGCCCGGGCCGGCGAGCCTGACGTCGGCCTTCACCCTCTTCCTCCGCATGAGCGCCCGCCAGTCCAGGTACCTGCGCTTCACCTCGGCGCCGGTCCTCTGCTCGCCCTCCCCCACGGCGTTCACGCACTGCGCGATCTCCTCCCACGCCAGGCGCTTCATCACGTTGATCGTTGTATTGAGCTGCTTGGAAAAAATGACTTCCTTCCTTTTCGTAATTTCTTTCAAAAGGGTCTGGGTTTCTTGAACACTAAAATTGCTTTTCCTTTTCCTTTTCAACTGCTTCATTTTTCTAACTTCGGTGTAGTTTTTTTACAGTAAGAGAAGATGTGAAAAGAATTTGAGGAATGCTACCAAGTACAAAAATGAAAGACAATCCCGTGTTGGCACTTTGCTTAAATCAGGTTTCAGCTAGTAGCACAGCAGGCTTGGAAATTCCTAAAGAGAAGAGTAAAAGGTCGATCAACCTGCAACTTCTGCAATGTAGTTCAACCCAATAAGCCATATACATAACTTAAAAAAAATAAACCTCTAACTATGGCTCAAAACTTACTATATTTCTGTCTCTACCAGCACCACCACAGTCCAAACTACTGTCCTCACTCACATGGGCTTCTGTACTGTTGCTAACTAATTGCTTGTATTAACTCTTGACCCACACGCTACCTCATCTTCTCCATTCTACTGTCCCCAATTCATCTTCTCTAACTACACTGGCCTTCATTTCAACCACCCATTCTTGTCAAGCTCTTCCCCTGTTCAGAGCCTTTGAACACAATTCCTTCTGCCTACGGAATGGATTGCTCTCCTTTCTTGGCCTACTTAACTCCCCCTGGATTAGACATGGGTTCCTTGGTGAAGCCTTTCCTGATAAGCCAAATTACTCTAATGGAAGGTTTGGCTAAAAACCTTTCTTCCTTTTCCTTGTCTAAATCTGTGCTAATATCCAGCTACAAGTCTCTCTCTTTCCATTTTTACTATGAGTGCAGCACTATCTCTGCTCACAATCATTTCCCCAGAGCCCAGCAGAGTTTCTGGGACATGGCAGGCACACCATAAATATTCCTTCAATGAATGAATGAATGAATGAGTCAATTTGCCGAATAGCCACTAGTTTGAGATATCAAAAAGAAAAAAAATTATAGACTGTGGAATAATTTTAGAGGAACACTGGAAGGCTGGGCTACAAAATGAGGAAGATTCAGAAACAGATTTGAGGCAATGTAATCTGATCAAAGAAGTGACAGCTACTTACATTTTCTCAAATTAAAACTCATTTTTAGGTTAAAGCTACATACCAATTCTAAGTTTGGAATAAATTTTCCTGAAACAACAAAAATATTATAAGGATATGATAGAATTAAATAAAATAAAAGTGGCAAGGATTTTTCACAGACACCCCACCTAATTATAAAGATTAATTAAACTAGAAAAAAAAATTTGGAATTCCTAAATCTTGTGGAGACTGATGCACATTTCATGGTCTGCCACTGTAATTCTGTCCCTCTATGCGCACCATATCCCCCTATTCCTGCAAACCAAAGGATGTGAACAAAAGCTCCTAACACAAAACCAAACAAGGTTTGACAGTATATTTGCTTCTAGTTAATGCTTTTAATTATTTGCCTTTCTTTGAAGAATTTCAGTCCTTCACACAATGTTCTGGGCCATTTTAATTACAGTTGAAGATCATGATACAGGGAAGTAATTGCACTTGGAGTCTCCAGGAAATAAATGAAGGAATTTTCTTGTGACAAATTTTAAAATACATTCTGAGTGGGAAAGATTCTCTTGTAAACATTTCTTTTAGATGGATGCAAAACAGAATATTCAATTTCCAGAAGACTCTCATGCTGTCATAGCATCAGAGGGTATACCTGCAACTTGGTAGAAAGGTAAACTTTTCAGGCCCCATCTCAGACCAACAGCATCAGGAACTCTGGGAGTGGGACCTAGCAACTTGTTTCAATAAGACCTCCAAATGACTCTTATGCATGCTGGCATTTAAGAACCACTGTGCTAGACCCACACTAGTAAAAAAAATACTTCGCACACCTTGATTTCAAGTGTTATACAGTGCATCTGATTGGCAGAATCTGAAGGACAGCCCAAATCCTCATCACAGGGGAGCTGGGAAATGTAGTTTTCTATAATCTAGCTCTTGCATTATGAGAATGAACACTGGAAAGTTGAAAAAGGTGTTGAGGGAGAATCTTCTTTGGAAAAGACAAGTACATAAAGGGGAACAAGGCTGAGAAAGAGTAAGGGTTATATACACAAACCATGTTTTCTAACTTCAAATTCATTCAGTGACACTGCTTATGACAATTTTTTCCTCTCCAAAATGAAAGGCTGTATGTACACAATGAGATTGTTAAGGTCCCTTCCAGCTCTTACCATTGTATGATCATAGTATTTCAGGCCTATGTGAAGAAAAATACCAAATACCCATTAAGTTCCATGTCCTGTCATTTAATCTCCACCGCAGCACTGAATGCAAGATACTAGCATTTCTTTTTGTAAAACAAGATTCAAAGAAATTAAATAATTTGTACACTATGTAACTAAATGACAGAACTTAAATCGGGTTCTCTGTGCCAGGCCATAACTCCTTCCACTTTATTAGTAGCTTGTGACAGCTTCATCTTAGAAATATGTTGCTAAGTTTAGAGATGTCTTTTAGAAAATATTCAAAAAGCAGATTCTTATCTCAGTGGAAGGTTTTGATAAAATTCTACAGATGGGCAGAAAAACTGTTCAGTTTCAACTAGGGATATTTCACTCTACCTTGGTTTCTTTTCTTAAATACCTTAATACCTGCCAACTAAAGATTTTTATTAGGGCAAAAAATATTTCTCTGGTAACTGACAATAAATGGAATCATCTACTGGAGTAAAAATAAAGCAATTGACTAAGACTAACTAAACTTAATCAGAAAATGCACAAATCTTTTCTATCACTGAGCCTCTTCTTTTTAGGACTTAAAAGTGGATGAAATTCCTTTTCTAAATTCTAATAAAATTGTTTAATTATGATTTCACTAACATGTTTATGCATTTTTTCCTTTCCAAATCCCCAGTAATCATTGTTCAACTGACTGTGTATGTACATAACATTGCCAAAAATATGCCCATCACTACATTTTTGTTTCCAATCATTCATGTGAAAAAAACATTGCCTGAACTGCCGCTTGCTGCTCAAATGGAGGTCAGAGGGAACTAAAAATTCACGAGAGCAGAAAACAAACTCTCAAGAAATCATTGTCAATTTCATACACCCACAATAAGGGCAAAGGATGTAAAAAACAAAAATTTGCAAGCAAACTACTTCTAAAGTAGACTTACAAAATAATAAAGTAGAAATCCACTAAGTTGGAATGTATTATCAGTGGCAACATTTTTTATCTTGTGCTAGGCAAATACTGCACTTAAAAGTTAAATATAAGCTCCATGTCACTAGAATATAGCAAACATACTCATAAATTAAAACATCACAAGAGGCAGTGTAGGTCAGTGGTTACGGGCACAACCTCTGCAATCAGACCGTCCAGGTGAGAGTCCTGGCTCCGCCACTTCCTGGCTGTGTGGCCTTAGTTACTTAACCACCATATGTCTAATTTCATTTGTAAAATAGTATCATTTCATAGAAATACTGTAAGGAGTGAAAGATTTACTAAAATATGGAGAATAGTTCCTGGCACACACTAGGCAAGTGAGTGCATCAAAGGCAAAATCATTAAATTTTGACAAAAGAAACAGAAAGGTTGTAGCAATATTTGGTATTGTTATAGTTCTCCGGTGAAGTGGTAGGTCTGTGGGTCTTTATTATTATGCTTCATAACAATACATGCTTTATTAGTGTTATGCTGGCGCCTCCTAGTACAAGCTGGCAAAGTCAGTTGTGCACATCTCTTCCCAGCCCTACATTCAGCAATGTCATCATGTTGGGAGCTAGAAACTGGCCAAGATGGAAGCTTTTACACCACAGAAATGGCCAAATGTTACAAACCAGAAATTTCTTTTTTGGGGAGTGGTCAAGGAGCTGTTTTACTAGCATGCTTACAGCTACATTATTCTTGCATATTTAAAATACTACCTACTAAATATTAGGGCAATATGATGTTTAATTTGACTCCAAGTCTGTCTAGTGAACTGTCTAGAAGACTTGTAATTTTAGAGGATCACATTTAAATAGACTCTGGCCTAATCCTTACACAATTCAAGTTATCTAATGGGCTGGGCAAGCATTCAGCTTTCCTATAGAGGTGACTGAAGAATACTCAGGCAGTACTATGTTTATAAGTCACATAAAAAAGAACTGAAGCAAACTGATTCATACCAGCCCAAATATGCGGCTTCTTAGTATCTATGCTGCAGCTTACTTCAAGGTATTACTGAAGTCAAAATGGCATTTTCCTTACTCTAACACTTGCTCTTCCACTATGAGGATCGGGGGATGGTAGGCCACCTGCTCCAAAGGCAGTATCTTTAATCTATAATACTGTGCCTAACAAATAGGAGGAGGTAAAAAATAAAAATATAACTTAAAATAAGCTGTTTCAGCGATAGGAAAGACAGTAGAAAGTGAAACAGAAAATAAGGAAGGTAAACTAGCAAAACTGAACCTTCTGTGAGCAAAACATAGATATAAAAGAAAAAAGGCAGCCAAGTCAATACAGGCAAGAATTAGTTTATGAGATTAAGTTAAGGCCTTAGATTTTATCTGAACCACCTACCCTATAACTTTGAGAATAAGTTAACAAGTTATACAAAATTCTGGAAAGAAAATTTCAAGTAAACAGGCTATGTGGCTACTTAGGCATCTACCTATGAACCAATAATGAGCAGGTTATCAAAGAAATATTTTCAAAATGGAATCAACAAGTTAGATGTCCTTAAAAATAGAACAGAGAGCTACAGTTACATCAAATTCCATATCAAATTAAATATAATGTATTAAGGATAACTTTTTGTTTCCACAGATACAGAATGTTTCAACCATTTAAAAGCTTCGTAAACCATTTTAAAAGCGTTATATTTTTAAGTTAAAATCATGGTAAAAATACGTATTCATCAATAGGGGATTGGATGAATAAATTATACTACAGTCAACTAATAGAATAATGTGATAAATGTCACATTAGAGTATGAATGAGTTAGCAAATTATTCCTGTGTAAATGCTAGTTACTGCAGGCCAACAAAATCAGAAAGGGAATGTGTACATGTCTGTGTGCCTCACTCTACACAGCTTCACTCACTCTGCCCACCACCAGTCACCAACTCTATAGTCATTTCTGTTCAGCTGTAAGACTGTTAACCCAGAGCACATTTGTTTTATTTTACTTTGAGGTGATTCACAGAACATTAAAAATGTACTTACGAAGGATTTTTATTACAGAAAAATACATTTTTAATAAACCCAATATCCACGAATCTCTGCCAACTAAAAACCTACCAATGTAACTAATAATAATTTATTTTTTTCCTAGAAAATCATGTTAATTATATACATTTATGAATTACACAGATTACATATTATACATATTACATGAATATGCAGGAGTCCATTCAGATACATTCATTAAAAAAGCAGTGACTGTTGAAAATGTTGAGATATAAAATTATAAAATTATTAATTGGAAGATAATTAATTGAAAACGGAAAACTGAGATGTCTAGAACGAATCTAAAAGACAAATGAAGAGACAAAGAGGGAATCATCAATGTAAAAACTTACCAGTATAGTAAAAAATACAAGATAAAGAAAAATTACAAAATTGAAAAATTCTGCAGATGTTGCTTACAGCAGTGCCCCCCACTTTGTACATAGGAATCGCCTGGAGCTCTCGTTAAAATGAAAGTCTGACTCAGTGGGCTTGGAGGAGGGCCGGTAGATCTGTATTTCTACAAACTCCCAAAACGATGCTGATGCCACTGGTGCTTGGACTACACTTGGAGTAGCAACAGTCTAAGCACACAGCAGCACTATCCAACAGAAACGTGTAATCCATTTATGTAACTTTAAAATTCTCTAGTAGCCATGGTAAAGCAAAACAAAAACAAGGTGGAATTAATTTTAACCTATTTTACTTACTACCATATATTCAATACATTATTATTTCAACATATAATCAATATAAAAAGTATTAATAGAGCTTCCATTCTTGTTTTTTCCTTAAGTCTTTCAATCTAGCATGTATTTTACAGTTAGAGCACATCTTATTTTGTACAAGTCACATTTCAAGAACTTAACACCACATATTAGTGCAGGTCTAAGCAGAGTGAAATCACAGGGAGCTTTTTAAAACTTCCTATAACCACTCTCCACCTCTGACCAATTAAGACAATCTTTGGAATAGGGCCAGATATTGGGAGTTTAAAAAGCTCTCAAGTAGGTCTTAAGTACTCTTACCACACACACACACACACACACACACACACACATATATATAACTATGTGAGTTGATGGATGCCTTAATTATCTTGATCTTGGTAATCATCCCAAAATATATTATGCATATCAAATAATCATGTACACTTTAAACATATACAATTATATTTGTCAATTATTCCTTAATAAAGTTGAAAAAAAACAAACACCTCTCTAGGAGATTTGCAGCCAGGATCACGAAGCACCCTGCTAGAGAAATCAGTGTTAAAAGTTTCCTTGCTCAAATGTACACAGAGGCAAGGGGAGTGCAAATACTGTAGCTTCTAAGAAATTTTCCTTCACATATCATTAAGGAAAGGCCTCATCTGCCACAACATTTACACATAGACAAAGCTGTCTCTTTTTGGAAAAATATGCCCTATAGAATGTTATGTCAGATGGAAAAAAAATATCTAATTATAAGGACCAACTCAGACTCCTGTGTGTTGGAAACACCTCAAAGGAATGAATACAAGCCAAACCAATTTAGTTTTTTAAGAAATGGACTGCTCTGTTTTGAGAACCAAACTTTCTTTTAAGTAGAATGCCTTTAGACATCCATCCACATCCTTATTAGAAAGAATTAGGACTGAATTAGAAGTATACATCCATTAGTAGATTGAGTAATTAAGACACATTGCTGCATTCCACACATATGTATTGAAGACTTTCCATACACGTAACTGTACTCTACTCTTCCTCTATCCCTGTTACAAACCTTATCTAAGCCCCACCTATATATCTTCGTATCTAGTTTTCATCCTTCTTGCCGCCTGCTAAATCTTCAAAATCCAGTGGGTATTTTACACTACATTTTACAACTCAATTTGGACTAGCCACACTTCTGAGAGTTCAATAGCAATATGTGGCTATTGGCTACTGTATTGGTCAGCACAGTTCTAGCTTTCATGATACCTGCCTTAGGACGATCATATGTTCCTTTAGCCCATCCTCTCCCCTTCCCAGATTTCTGCAGTTTTGGCTAGCCAATGACTACTTATCCTCAGCACTCAGCTTAAATGTGTTCAGGACGCCTTTGATCCCCTTCATGGAAGTCTAATAGCCTTGCTACAATGTTTCCATTCACTACATTTTACATTGGGAGCAATAAGGGATCAAAAGTGAATACATTACTCTTGCTATCAAATAATTTCTAATCTAGCAAAAACTGTAAAAGGTACATGCATAAAAATTATACATGAAAAAATCGTAAGAGATTATAAACTCAGTTATAAGTAGACTGACTACCTAGACTTGTATGTTAATTCTACCACTTACTAACTGTGATCCTAAACAAATTAACCTTCTAAACTTATTTCCTCATCTATGAGACTAGAATAATACTCATAATGTTCTGAGGAGTAAATGAGATAATCCAGTTAAGAAGCTTACAATACTTAAGATACAGTAAGCCCTCAACAAGTATCAGCTATTATCCATTTTCTAGTATAGTGTCTGGACACAGTAAGCAAATATTTTTTTACTGGATGAACAATGTGAAAATGTAAAAAAACGCAACAAGAGAAATACTAATAAAATACCCTGGTGTGCAGAAATAGGAGAAATCTTTGGTACAATGAAGGAAGGTTGTGAGAAGGAATTAGCATTTGATTTGGGTCTTATAAAACAAATAGATTATAAGAGACAATAACAAAGGAGAGAAGTACTAGGCAGGGGCCAAATGCCAACAAATCTTTAAAGTTGGCTTAGTAAGGCCTTATACTTTGCTGAAAAACTTACTGCACGAGACAAATATATCTGTCACAGTTCAAATAGTTTTGAGATTCAGGCAGGTAATCTTCTATATGCTGGCAAAATAACTGTAATATACAAAGTCTAACAAAATGTAAGTATGTAATACAAAATGAACAACAATTGCAGTTGTCAAGGGAACCCTAATTTAGGCAGATAACCATTAGATTTTGCTGCTCTCGGAATCTGAGATTAGTTTAGTAACTGGATTGTGGTAAATATAGGTACATGGTAGAAATAACAAGTCATTTTAAAACTATGCCTGAGTCAATATATTTTTAAGATTTTGGTAGCAGTTGTTATTTGCATTTCCTATTTTTGCCTAGCAATTTGTAACCCCATACCTCTGACAAAAAGTAGTATTCCTGTCCTTGACCTATGTTAACCTGATGGACTATTTCATAGACAAAAAGTACTTCAACACACTTTAACCTCACTGAAATTGACCTAGGGATTATTTTAGTTTTCCAGTTGGTTATGATTTAATTGTGTGAAAACCTCTAACAACTTCTGATTAATGTAAGAAAGTACCAAAATCAACACACCTTAAGTTGCAAGCTATGCTTGCACAGACAGAAGCTAAGCTATGTTCCAGGAATGGCTTTTTTTTCTGTTTTGGCACTCATGTAACAGAGCATGGATTTCTGTCATCCATTACCCAATAATTCACTCAAATATTTACTGAGCTTCTACTATGTGACAGACAGATATTCTTGGTGCTAGGGATATAACACCTCATAAAATGTCAAAACATGTCATTTTAAAGGTCAGATACTATCCCTTTTATATTGGTTGTCTTCCCTATCTTTACAGAGACAATTCTGTCACTGCAACCTCCAAAGTCATAGATCTTACATGTCCCAACAGAAAGAACAGCCATTTTCCTGAAATCCCATCTCACAGCCATTCTTTACTGGTTGGAAAGAGGTTTGATGATAAGTAGTTCACCTACATAGTCCTCGTGAAGATGTACCTCCAGTGGCATATTGTAACTGGGCAATTTTTCTCAAGGAATAATACTTGAGAATTAAGTTCCTAAATACTGCCTAAAACGGAACCACGAGGTCTGAGGATAATCAGGCAGTAAATCCTGGGTCCAAAATTTGTTTTAGGTAAATTCATTAGGCTGTTCAAGAAGAAAAGCTTCACGAAATCCACAAACCTTCCCCAACCCACACCCCGATCTTCTTTTAAGTGTTCCCCCAACCCCTAGCCTCACGTTCTTATAGGAAATTCACTTCCCTGCAGTACGATGCTTTTCTCTATAAACTTGTGGTAGGTAAAGTTTACTTAAGGGTCACAGGTTAACAAAATACCCCTCCCTCCCTCCCCGCCGCTCTCTTCGGGTCCGCCCTGTACCAGCTCCGGGGAAGAACTGAGGAAGATGATCCCCGAGAAGACACCCCGGAGAAGGGGGCGCGACCCGACGGCAGAGCGCAGCGGCTGCCCCTGGTGGGAGACGGAGCACCGGGGAGGAAAAGCCTTTCTCAGAATATTAGTATCCTAACTGGGTGCCGGAAACTTCGGCAGCCGCCAGAGGCCTGGGCCCTCCCCTCCCGCCCGGGGCAGGCGGCAGCCGTGACGGGTGCTTCTCCCGAGCGTCGCGGTCCCCCACGGCGCGGAGCCAGGGCAACAGCCGGCGGCGGACAGACACCTGCCGGCCTCCGCCGGTACCCTCCCCGCTGAAGGCACCCACCAGCCGCGGCGCCGCCGCCTCGGGGCCACCTCCTCCGGGACCGAACCACTCACCTGCGACCCCGGCGGCACCTCCGCCCGGTCGCCGCTAAGTGGAGGGTCGGAAAATAAGATGCTTCATTGATTCCCCGCCCATGACTGGGACCACGTCCCTGTCGCCACGCACTGGCTCGCGTGGCTGCCACTCGTTCGAGGTGGCCCGCCCATTGGTCTGGAGAGTATTGCCATTCTGGCTGAGGGCCCGCCCCAGGTCTGGCCTCACAATGGGAATCGAGTCCCAAACCGGTTCCGGGTTAGTGCCCTGGAATTCCGCCCCCTTGTGATCGTGGCCTTCCGCTCTGCGGTCGGTCTTTGGCGCGAGGCTCTGTCAGTCAAGCGGGTTCTAGAAAGGATTGGCCCCTAGAGATCAGCCGGCTTCGCCGTTCCTCCTGATTGGGACCCTGGCCGCTCCGTCTCCAAACTGTGCTCGGCCCTTGACCCTCGCCAATTAAAAGGGCAAAGAGAAAGTGGGGCCCTTGCGTTGCCTCAGGCGGTTCCTAGCACAGTATCAGCGCGCGCTCGCCCCTCTGCGACCTAGCTTGGCTTTAACCGTTCTACTGAGCCTACCCCTGACAAAGGTCACCAGTGGTGTTCTGGCTAAATCCGAATGTCACTTGTCAGTCCTTATCTTACGTGACTCCCCAAAACACATTTGACTTGTTGACTATTCGTTGTTTCTCAGAATATGTGCAGCTCCTGGCTTGCTGCCCTCTGCTCCCTTGGTCAGTGTACCCTGCTGGTGCCTCTTTCTCTGCCCTCTCAAGTTTAGTGTTACACGCGAACCCGTCTGCCTGCCCGTAGCCTTTATCCAGGCCTCTATTGAGTTCCTGAGTTACATCAGAGCCTCCGTAGCGGCCTCTCAACCAGACGCCGTTCTCCAATCGTAGCCAAGGCGTGCTGCTTAAGGTTCTCAGTGGAGTTAGACTCATCTCAATAAATCACAAACTCTTCACAAGAGTTTCTCCTACTTTTTCCTCAGGCTTCGTCTTCCATCAGCATTCTGCCTCTTCCCTCTTCCTTTCCTTACCCCAAGTCCTTTGCTCTTTCACTTCCCAATCTTGACAGTGATCTTGCAACCTAGTTAATCCTGGAAAACTTTTCCCCTGCCTCTTCCCTTTTATGCTCAGGATTCGTTTTAAAACCTAACTTTATGAAGGAAGACTTCCTTTCTCTCCATTCACCCTAACTCCACTTCTGAGATGTCCCTCTAATGTAGATTTGGCAGATAAAGGACAGAATGCTCAGTTAAATTTGAAATTTGAGTAAAATCTTTGGTAGACGTATGTCCCATGCAATATTTGGCATCCTGTATTTTTATTCGCTAAATCTGGCAACACTGCTCCAGCATGCTTCCATCACAGTGACACAGGGACTGTTCTAAGTTTAGGCAGAGTAGGTTGAGGGCCTCCAGAGAAAAAGAAGAGCAAGCTGATTACAGTCAGAACAATGTAACAATGTGCAAAGAAATCCCTATCAAAACTCTTTGTTAAGCATTACTCAAAGTCAGAGTCACACTAATTCGCTAGGGTAAAGATACCAGACTAGGAATATAAACATCTTCAGTGAGATCAGTTAAAGCTCAAAAGGCCAGGAGCAATTTGGCCCTGGAATGTTTGAGTGTTCTGCAGATAAAGAGAAATGTCTCAGCATAACCCATGACTTCATTGTATCAATTAGATCATGACACTGTAAAATTTACCTTAGCCTGTGCCCTCTTCGGCTACACATATACTAAAATTGGAACGATATAGAGAAGATTAGCATGGTCCCTGCGCAAGGATGATATGCAAATTCATGAAGCGTTACATGTTTTTGAGGCCAGTTTGAAAAAGACATATGCACCCCTATGTTTATCGCAGCACTATTTACAATAGCCAAGAAATGGACGCAACCTAAATGTCCATCAGTAGATGAATGGATAAAGAAGATGTGGTACATATACACAATGGAATATTATTTAGCCATAAGAAGAAAACAAATCCTACCATTTGCAACATCATGGACAGAGTTCGAGAGTATTTTGCTCAGTGAAATAAGCCAGGCAGAGAAAGACAAGTATGAAATGATTTCACTCATCTATGGAGTATAAGAACAAATAAAAAACTGAAGAACAAAACAGCAGCTGACTCACAGAACCCAAGAATGGACTAACAGTTACCAAAGGGAGAGGGACTGTGAAGGATGGGTGGGAAGGGAGGGATAAGGGAGAAAAAGGGGAATTATGATTAACACACATAATATAGCAGGGGGGCACATGGGAAAGGCAGTATGTACAGAGAAGACAAGTAATGATTCTATAGCATCTTACTGCGCTGATGGACAGTGACTGTAATGGTATGTGGGGGGACTTGATAATAGGGGGAAGTCTAGTAACCATAATGTTGTTCAAGTAATTGTACATTAACGATATCAAAATAATAAATAAATAAATAAATAAATAAATTGCCTTAGCCTTCTAAAAGGCCCAGCTTATTTTTAACTGTAGCTATGTGCTGTGTTTCCTTCTCTAATCCTAATCAAGTAATCTGCAACCTAGGAACGAGATTAATTTAGTAAGCAATCCCAACTATAAACAGCCCAAGAAGTTAAGAAGCAAGATTCTTAACACACTTTAGCAAACAGGCAACACCCAGCCCACCTTGCGGGTAGGGCTGGCTGTCTTAATTGACATGCTCCCAGAGGAAAACTGCTAACCTGAGAAAGAAACAGAGCAGGAAATTTTCTGTTACTCATCAAAAAAGAGCATTCTGGGACCACTCAACAAGTCTGCACCCCTAGCCCTTTACCCCCATTCCTTAAATCCTCAACTGTGCATAAAACCCCTAGACAACAGGCCGACTATGAGCTGTCTTGTCCCCTCCTGGCATGAGCCCGGAGTTCTGTCCTCTCACTTTATCTCTAAATAAAAGCCTCTACCTAGTGCTCCTACCTTGAGTGTTTGCAAAGTTTATTCTCCAACTCCATGAACAAGAACCCCGGCATCAACAGTCAGTGTCTTTCCTTTCTTGTGACAGCTCTTATCACATGTCCCATGTAGATGGTTCTTATTCATTCTAATTCCTTTGTTTAGCAGTGCCTAGAATATAATAGATACTTAAAAGAGATTTTGTAAATAAATAATGGAATATTCTGGATGAATGGTGAACCCTTGCTAGAGTCCTGGAGGAATTCTCTTCCATAAAATAGGAAGTACTTATGAAATACAATCTTTGAAATGTCAGGAAGGATAAGTTTAATCTTTCAGATTTTTACTTATGACTTTTTGTAAGAAACATGTATACACTTTTGCCTAAGTAGAACAAGAAAATTTCTGTTGTTTTGGAAAAATATGAAAATTTATATATTATAATTTTGGGTTTTGTTTGTGGTGGATGCTTTGAGTGAGTGCAGTGAGAAGGTAAGAGAATTATCCATTCCTATATGACCAAACACATTCTCTCTCTCCCCTTTCAAAGTCGGTCAGCCACTTGAATCTATTTATTTACTTCAGTAACAGGGATAAGACCTAGAATAAGTCAGTAGGTGTTAAGAACTGTTGCTTTCATATCATGAACTCTAAGATTCTTCCAATTAACCTATTTGTTTGTTGTGGGAACTTTTCCAAATACTCCATTTTTTCCTCAGTGTGTGTAAAATTTCAATATTTGCAGAATCTCTTGCCTGGCTTTAGTGCATCTCCACACAATGGGTGTTTCTAGGGGGTGGAGAGGAATAGTTCATCTTCTTATTAGTAGGTAATTAGGAGGGTGAGCAAGGTCTAAACTGGACAAGAAGGTTGGGTGGGGTCTCCTTCTGCAGCCTGGTTACTAGAGACATGGGGAAGCAGAAGTGGACAACTGCTTGTAAGAAATAAACTTTATTTCTTCCTTTGACTGATTTCAGTTTCAAAGGTATTTTGCCCTGGGATTTTCCCCTGGAATTACACTCAGCTACATCTTGGCTGAGTCAGTGTGGATCAACAGGGAGAAAGTGAAGGTAAGCCTATGTGGGTAAAATTGTAACATTTCCAGAATATCTTGCCTGGCTTTAGTGAATTTGCATATCCTCAGGGGTGGAGAGAAGGTCCTCTCAATGTCAATGGGTAATTACCTGGGCAACTGACAGGTGTGTATGAACCTGGGAGGTGAAGGGGAGGGGGCTGGCTGGCTTGCTGGCTTCTTCCAGAGCAGAGGAGAAAGACGGCCCTGGACTGCAGTTTACAAGCAATAAGCAGGTTTTAAACTTTATTTCTCCCTTTGACTGATTTCAATTTTTAGAGGTATTTTGCCTGGGGATTTGCTTTCCCTGGACTTACATCTGGTGCAGTCGGCAGGGTTCCTCTGAACCTGAAATCTGTCATAATGGGTGCGACCTTCGGGAGGGCTGCTCCTGTGGGTGGTGTGGAAGCCCCAGTAAAGGCAGCAGCAGAGGGTGCCACTACACCTGTTATTAGCCCCCCAGCTGTGGGGCTTCCAGATTGGGAAACCTAGTGGGGAATTGGTCTAGGGTGAAGACCTCCTAGAGGGGTGGGGCCTTCCCCAGAATTGGGGAAGGGGGGAAACACTGGAGGCTGCAGAATTAGCCCTCCGTGAGTCGGAAGACTTTGGAGATCATAGGGGTCCATGTAGTGGCTGGCATTGTACGGTCTCTTTTCATCGAGATAGTGGAAAAGTGTTACACAGGAGAAAGAGTGAATTATCAAGAGGCTTAGTGAAGAGAGAGGGGGCCTTAGGTGGCAGAGAGCACACACTTCAGCATCGCTTGGAGGAGCTGGACAATAACCTATGGGATCCTGTTAAAGAGAGACAGTTACTGAAAAGGTAGGTCATGTTCCTAGAAGATTCCTCAGCAGCAGCGAGGGTAGAGATGGCAGGAAAAGCCACATTACAGGAGGCCTTGGGGGAGGAGCCATTGGTGGAGGGCCTATTTTAAAGGTCCACCAAGCTGTAATTAAGAAAATAAAAACCGCGGTCTCCTCAGGCAGAGGGGCAGTCCCCTCTCCAGGTTGTGGAGCACTCCACACTCCACCCCTAGAGCCAGGATGAGCTGGTGGACATGAGTGTACAGTGTAGGCAGAGGCCATCGGAATCTCTCCCTACATGGCTTTTACATCTCTGGGATACGGGGGGTGGAAAACATTGTTATGTCGGGTACTGAGATGAATAGAC